TTACCAGTTGATGGAAGTTTGGTCTCTTTCCAAGATTTAGCTATTATAAACTATGCAGCTGCAAACATGGGTACAGAAAGCTCTTTTAACTTAACCAGGGATGGACTCACCAATACTACTGGTTTTTTGTTTGTTTGTTTGTTTTTTCAGAACTGGGGATTGAACTCTGGCCCTCACTTATCCTATTGAGCTATCTCGCCAGCCCCAGTACTACATTTTTTTTTTTTTTTGGAACTGGGGATTGAACTCAGGTCCTTGCGCTTGCCAGGCCAAGTGCTTATTCCACTGAGCTATCTCCCCGGCCCCTACATTTTAATTATGGCTATATCAGTTCAACCAACAATTTGTTCTATCCTTTAGGACAATTTCCCAGAATGGGAATTCTCTTGGCAAATTTCTCAATACCTGCATTCCTTGGCCTAAGCTAATTCTTTTTTCTTTGAGCAACAGTTCACAGTTAGAGTCTAGATGAGAAACATCCTTTGGATACAAAAACTAGGGACCAGCTCTGTATCAAGAAAGCCTTCCGTGTCTACCCAACTTACTGTAATTGCTTACTTACTTATATCGTTCTTCCATGGTTTTATTTCTTGTACTGTACTTATCGCTACTTGATATTTTCTTGATATTGTCTAGTTTTTAAAAACTATCTCACTAAACCAGAATTTTGTCCTTGAAAGCCTGTGCCTTTCAATCTTACCCAAGGTCTATTTGCAGTAGTGGGGATGGTGTCCGTCCCATTTCAACTATTCATGAAAACATGTTGGATGAGCATTTTCCAGCTCTGTCTTGGAGCCACTTTTGTTGCACCAGAAAGACTTTCAAAAGAAAAATCAGTGTACAAGAACAAGTTGCCTCATAATATTGTGCTCACTGATCTCTGTTTATGGTAGCATTTGCTTGTGTCACATGAAACATTTTCTTGAAATCTCCTCATCTGACTTTACCAGTTAGTATTCTTGCTTAACATTTCCTGTTCTGGGGTATTTTATCTTGACTTCTAATGCAGTGCAACACCTTCTTTTACCAGAACCATAAAAGAAAGAAAAATAACCTCTTTCTAAGAATTTGTTAGTTCTGTAAACAATCTCTACATTGCGTGTGTGTGTGTGTGTGTGTGTGTGTGTGTGTGTGTGTGTGTGTTTCCTGCCTTCAAACCCTATATTCCGCCACGACATCCCGGACAATTTTTTCTTAACCATGCTGTACCTGAAATACCTCCCCATTTTCTTGGCTAACAGATCAACTCAAGCTAAGGGTTTTGCTTTTTGTTACTGGTTGGCCTGCCTCCATCTCCCTCTTTTGCTTCTCCTTATGCTCTTCGCCTAGATAATTTCCCTAAAGTAAATCCTTAATGTGTTTTCTTCTGTTAGAAAACTTTAATAACTTCCTACAGAGAGGCACAAATGAGCAGCCCGTGGTTCTAATTTAGATGAGATTTATATTTCTCTTGACTTTGTGGGCTTTAAAACAAAATGCTTTTAGCCATTGTTAAATAATCAAAGGCCACCTTCCCTAGGAACTATTAGTGACCTACATTAATAGGAAAGCATAATTTTTGCCATTCGGTAGGATGTTATCTGTGGGGTTTTGTGGCTTTATTTTGGCTAGTTTGTAGTGCAGGAGATTGAATGAGGGGCTTTGTGAATACTGGGCAATTGCTCTACTGCAGAGCTAAGTCCCCAACTCTGACTATAGATGTGTTGTAGCTGGAGTTTATCAGATAGAAAAATTGTCTTTTAGTCCCAGTTTGTTGAGTGTTTTTATCTTGAAGAAGTGTTGGGTTTTTTCAAATGCTTTTCTGCAACTCTGGAGATGATTCTGTGACTTTTATCATTATTATTATAACTTTGGTACTGGGAATGGAACTCTGCAGCCACTGAACTACATCTCTGGTCCTTTTAATTTTTTATTTTGAGTAAGGATCTCACAACATTGCACTGGTGGGATACAATCTTATGGTATTTCTGTCTCAGCTCACTTCAGTACTGAAACTACAGGTGTCTGTCATACTAAGGGAAATTAGACCACTGATTTAAAATATGTCTTATTTTATTCATATGTAGAGATGGTTTACAGAGATAAATTCTTGGAAAGAGGTTATTTTTCTTTATTTTATGGTTCTGGTGTTGCATTGCATTAGAAGTCAAGATAAAATATCCCAGAACAGAAAATGTTAAGCCACAGTGCCCAGCTTCTTCTAATTATTTTTAAACAGTGTATTACATTAATAAATTTTCAACTGTTAAATTTGTTTCTTTGGTCACAATGAATAATCTTTCTTATGTGTTGCTAGGTTTGGTTTGGTATTGTTACATTGGCAATTTTTCATAAAGGAAATTTGTATGTGATTGTCTTGTGACCTTTGGTTTTTGTAATAGGGGAATGTAGTCATATAGGATTAGTTAGGAAATGTTTCTTTCTCTTCCTTTTTTTTTTTTTTTTTTAGGGGATGTGGTTAGGTGGAAGAGTTTGGGAAGGATTGGTATTAATTTTTCAAAGATTCTGTGAGGCATGCCACTGAATTTGGACTTTTACTTGTGGAAAAACAAAGTTATTGCATATTCCATCTATATTCACTTACAGTATATTTTCTTCCCTCTTGAGTCAGTTTTAGTGGTGTGTTTCTCTAGAAATTAATTCATTTTTTCTAAGTTATCTAATGGGCTAGAATACAAATGTTAACAGATTTCTCCTGTAATGTTGTTTTCATTCTACAAGTTAGTAATATCTGCTTCTTTCACTCTTGTCCTTCTTGTCTCTGATAGTTCAGCTAAAAGTTTGATAGTTTTATTCTCAGATCCAACTTTTGGGTTCAGCTTTTTTTTGTAACACCTTTATACTCTATTTCATCAATTTTTATTCTTATTGTGATTTGTTTCCTTCTGTTTCTTCTAGGTTTAGTTTGGAGGTTTTCCAGTACTCTAAGGGAGATTAGACCACTGATTTAAAATATGTCTTATTTTATTAATATGTATTTGCAGCTACAAACTTCTCTGTATTGCTTTGACTGCATCCCCTAAGTTTTTGTTATGCCATTGTTAGAAGTTTTACTTTTCATTTTTATTTATCTCAAATGTTTTATTGTTTCTTTTCAATTTCTTTGGCTCAATACTTACTTAGGAGTGTGTTGTGTAAAGTCTGTGTCTCTGCTAACTTCCCACATATCTTCCTGCAGTTGATTTCTATCTCAATTCCATTCTGGTGATACAACATACAAGGAGCAATGAAAATATATGATGAATGTTAGATTAAAACACATTATTACAGTGAAACCATAAGGCCATTAACCCCCTCATAATACTCCTCCCTTTGAACAAGTGTATCCCATTGTTTTTGCCACTTTCTGAAGCAGTTCTGCACATCCTCTTTCCTGAGTGTCTTTATAAATAGTAACATGAAGTATAGATAATTGTGATGCTGGGTGCCACTGACATGAAAGGTGGGCTTATAAAATCATCACAATGGGTCTTCATCTACATCATTTACTGGATCTGGCACCCTGTGAATGCTGGCTCTTCTCCAATATCAAAAAGACCAGAGGTGGTGAACTTTTTGAATTGGTTCAAGACATCCAGACAGCCACTACAGGACAACTGAAGACACTTATGAAAGAGGGCTTCCAGAACTGCTGCAGAGTGGCAAGAACAATGGGCCAAGTGCGTTTGCAGAGAAGTGTTTTAATTTGTGGAGCTCTCTTCACAACTCTTTTTTTCTTACCTCTACCTTTTCCACTTAGGATAGATCTCAGAGCCATTGCTCTGGATTCTTGGAGTGGGAATGGTGGCCAGTTTCTCCCAGAGTAATCCACTTGCTCTATGAGTGGGACTCTGGAAAAGAGTAGTAGCTCTAGCCTTCTCAGTTTGCCTTTTTTGGTGTGGAGCCTTTGATTTACAAATGAACAAGGACAATGTCATGCAGGTACTCTGTGTTGTTCTTTTTGCCTCATCAAGAGCAAAACTTATACCCAGTGGCTAGCAGCTGGGTGGAAGAAAAAAGCTCACATCTACTTGACTGTGGTCAACCCAAGTTTAGGTCCTGCAAAAAAAGAGTTGGAAATGAACATGCTGTTTGCCTTGTCCTTCCCAGGGAAGTAAATGTTTCTTGGCTGGATTCTAGGAGAGAAGGGAGCCTTCATTTAGCCATGGTTTAGTTTGTCAAGTTCTCAGGGATCATAACAAGGGACCAGTTTATGCCTTACTTGTAGACTCTCACTCTGTTAATATTTATTATTATTATCTTATTTTTTATAGAGATTACAAATTAAAATTAAAACATAAAAAATTACAAGTGATACAGAATTTCACTTAACAAAGTAATATGAATTTCACAGTATTTGTTGTAATACATAGTGTTATCTTCCAACCAGTTATACATATACCATATACATGCATGTAACATTGGAAGAAGAAAGAAATGTATAATAAATTAAGAAGAGAAAAAGTACAAACAATTGAAAAAAAGGAGATGAAACGAATTAAGCATTAACTGCCTTTTTTCATAGACCAGCAGAAATGCACAGTACAGTTGTCCAAATCATCCTGCTTGCATACATAGATAAGTCTCTTTCCCCCACTCCCTCTCCTATCTTTCTCCTCAACTCAGTAACTCTTTCCTTCTGAATAAGTTCATTCCATTTTTCCAGTATCTAATTATTTTATTTTATTTTTTAAAGAAGACAAAATGGGGGATGGAGAGATAGCTCAGCACACTTAGGCAAGTGCAGAAACCAAGATTTGGTCCCCCAGAACCACAAGCCATACCAGACCCACCCCCTGGTGTGCTGAGCCAGCCACAGAAACCCAGCATGGTGGTGCATTCTTGTAATCCTAGTCCCAGGGAGACTAAAAACAGGAGTATCACTATGAATCCAAGCTGCCTAGTGAGACTCTGTACCAAACACATTTTTAAAAAAGAAAAGAAAAAAAGACAAAATGTTAAAAAAAGCATTAGTAATGTTATAAAATTTCATTAAACAAAGTATTAGGAATTTGACAATGGTTATTGTGTGCATAGTGTTATCTTCAAATTAGTTGTTTAGGTTACCAAATATAAACCTGCAAAACTGGTTTAAATAAGTTATAAGAAATCAAAAAGAAGGATAAAAATTAAAAATTAAAAAAATTAAGCATTAATCACTCTTTTCAATAGACCAGCACAAGTCAATAGCACAACTATCTAAACTATCCTGCACGTATACATAAATATATCTTTTAACCCTCTTTCTTTTGTCCTGTTCCTCGTTCTAGTCATCCCTTTCCACTGAATATTAAATACTTTCCCTTTCAAAGTATCTATTGTATATATTCAGATTATATTCTGAATCTATTCAGATTATATTTACTCTTTCAGGTTCTCACACTCATGAGATAAAATAATGTTTGTGCGTGCAGGTCTGATTTATTTCACTTGCCAATGCAGTCTCTAGTTGCATCTGTTTACCTATGAAAGCATTGAATTGATCTGTTTTATAGCTGAATAATACTCCATTGTACAAACATAACACTTCTTTTTTATTTATTCCTCAGTTGATGGGCAGTTGGATTGTTTCTAAGATTTAGCTATGACAAATTGCACTACTATAAACATGGTGCACATATATCAATGTGGCATTAAGTTTGTAGTTATTTTGCAAAAATACATAGAAGAGGAATAACTGGCTTGAATGGGACCTCCAATCCTAGCTTTTTGAGGAACCCCCACACTGAGTTCCATAGTGGATGTCCCAGCCTCCACTTCCAGCTAAAGTGCAGAAGAGTTTCTTTTTCGTTGCAGCCCCTCCACCATTTCTTCTTGGCTGACTTTTTTTAAATTAACTTTATTGAGAAACAAGTAGCAATGAGACAGTTTCAAAAATGATTAGTAGGACAGTTACAATAATTAGTACATTGCATATTGTTGTCTTCGTAGTGGTTATTCATAGTACAAAGTGCAGACACGATATCCTGTCCAAACGCTATTAGTGCAAATCTTTCTTCTCATTGAATTAAGAGAAAGTAGCTGTATATCTATCCTGTTTTGTATACACAGATACAAAATGATCCTCTTTTTTTGTTCAGTTTTGTCAGAGATGGGTATTCCATTGCCACTTAAATATTGTAGGTGTATGAATTCAGCAAAACAATCCAGCAGCCCATAATAGCAGTGGGCTATGTGTAGGACTGGCAATGTTAGAAGTTGTTGACTGGAGCCCTTTACAGCTCAGCATATTAATATGGCTTTACTTTTTATACCTCATTTTTATACTTTTCTCCTGGATCATTAAGACCTAGATAAAGCAAAACATATATAACAAGAAATGTAACTTTTGTATCTGACAAGATCAGTCAAATCTCCTCAGGACTTACCCTGAAACCCTGTAGCACTGTTTGTAGATCCTTTGCCAGTGTCAGCCATATGGATGAGTCATGGCCTTCACTTGACCAATTTGCTCTCTGTGAAAACCTGAGAGAATGTTTTCTCTCCATGTGATTCTCCTTAGGCGTACTCTACAAAAAGATGTGATATTTTTATACAATGGAGTATTATTCAGCTATAAAGAGTGATAAACTCGAAGCCTTTATATTTAAGTGGATACCACTTGAGGATTGGCTGACTTCTTGATGATAGCCATTCTTTCTGGCATAAAATTGAATCTTAGTGTTGTTTAAATTCACATTTCTCTAATGACAAATGATGTTGAACAGTTTTTCATGTATTTGTTTGCCATTTGTATTTCTTTATTTGTGAAATGTACATTCATTTCAAATGTACATTTTTGGATTGGGTCTTTGAATTTTGGAGGTCTGATATTTTAAAATTCTTTGTTTGTTCTAGAAAGAAATCTTTTGTCTGTGGGACAGTTGGTTACAATTTTTTCCCAATTTGTGGGTTTTCTTTTTACTCTGTTGGTGATTTCTTTTGATGTATAGAAACTGTTCAAAAATATGTGATCCCAATTGTTAATTCTTTGAAGTATTTCTTATGCAGTTTGGTTTTTGTTCACAAACTGTATCTACCCCTATGCATTTAAGATTTATTTTATTCATTAATTTGTTTATTTTGTATTTTAGGGAAGGGTCTACAGGGTATTCAAGGCTTCACTACTAGATTGGACTCATAGTGATCCATCTGTTCACAGCCTCCTTAGAGTTGGGCGTGTGCCACCATGCCCAGTCTCAATTGCTGTCTCAGCATGCCCCAGGGGCAGGGCCAGCATTGCAGGCTGGGGATCAAACCCCCAGCCCCTGTGCCTGCTTTCAGGTGCTTTAATCCCCTGAGCTATTTGGCTGTCCCTATGTATTTGAGATTTAAACCTACTTTCCCCACCAGAAGAGTTATTGTTTCAGTTTTAATATTTAAATCTTTGATCCATTTTGACTGTAGTTTTAGCCATGGTGATAGGCATGGGTATAATTTTAGCCTTTGACATGTGGAAAACATTTTTTTTTCCAGCACTATTTATTAAAGAGGCTATCATCTTCCAGGGAATATGTTTGGTCCTTTTTTAAAAGATAAGGTGGTGTCTGCATCTTCTAATCTGTTCTATTAATCCTCAGGTCTGCTTTTTTATTTTTGCCAGTATCATGCTGATTTTATTAGAGTAGCTTTGTCATATAATTTCAAGTCAGGAGATGTGGTATCTCCTTCCTTTCCTTTGTTTCCCAGGATTGCTGTTGCTATTCTGGTTTCAGATGAATTTTATGCATGCTTTTTCTAAAATCTGAGATGTACTAATAGTATTTTAATTGGGATTGCATTGAATCTGTATAATAATTTTGGGAGTATGGCCATTTTCACAATGTTAGTTCTTCTTATCTAAGGGCAAGGAAAATCTTTTCATTCTCTGAAATCCACTTTGGTATCTTTTTTGACAGTACTATAATTTTTGCTGTATAAATCTTTTACTCCCTTTGTGAGATTGATTCGTGTGTGTGTGTGTGTGTGTGTGTGTGTGTGTGTGTGGTGTTATTGTGAAAGACATGGTTTCCATAATTTCTCTCTTGGCATATTTATAGAAATGCTGTTGATTTTTGAATGTTGAATTTGTATTCTGTTACGTTATTGAATTTTGTTATTAAATCTACAGGTGTCTTAGTGGAGTTTTTGGTTTTTTCTATGTATAATATTGTCTTATTTGCAAATAATGTTGATTTCACTTCTTTCCCAATCATTATTCCTTTTATTTCTCTCTGTTGTCTAATTGCTCTGGCTAATGTTTCCAGAATTCTATTGAACAGAAGTGGTGACAGTGGGCATCCTTGTCTTATGCCTGACTTTACAGTGAAGGCTTTCAATTTTTGTCCATTTAATATGATGTTGGCTGTTGGATTGTCAGAGATGGCTTTTATCAGTTGATGTAAAGACCATCTATTCTGATTTTCTGTAGGTTTTTATCATGAATGAGTGTTGAACTCTGTCAAAACTTTTATCTGAATCTATTGAGATGATAATGTGATTTTTGTCTTTGGCTCTGTTAATGGGCTATATTGCATTTATTGATTTGCATATATTAACTATCCCTGTAATCGTGGGGTAAGTCCCACTTGGTCATGATGTGTAATTTTCTTGATGATTTGCTGCATTCTATTTGCTAGTATTGTATTGAGGATTTTTGCATCTATGTTCATTAGGGAGATGGGTCTGTAGCTCTCTTTTTAGGTTGGGTTTTTCTCTGGTT